TTCTGATGGAAACTTCCTGATTCGTATAGGTTTAAAATAAAACCATCACGTCAAAATAAATCAAAAATAACCACAATCGCGTCGGAACCCACCGCAATTTTCATGAAGTCCAAGAAACGTTGTAATTGATCGATCATTGTTGCAAATGAACCACCCTGGAGATGTGACCGCACTATGGCTGCGTGACCCTAAAAAAGTATTCGTGAAACATTTCCTATTCCAGCCTCCGATAATAAGAGATTAAGGACAGTGAGACCCTAATCAACCCCTCCAATGGAAACTTCTGCAATTCTGACAAACACAGCTGAGCCTGGCAGACAGATCTGCAAAAAAGGTGAGGTCACCTATAAGCGAGCAAATGGAGGAGTGCGAGGTACCTAATTCGAGGCTTATGTCCCTCTACCCGCCTATATTTAAACAAATAAGAGCACTATACAGTGAAAACGCATCTCAGCAAATAGAAACGACCAGTCCAAAGTCCCCTTTCTACTCTGACGACCACAAAATGCTAACAATCCATCTAAGGGATCCTCCAGCGGCCCGCTCTACAAGAGACCGCCCTAACTTACGACCACGCCAACTTATTATTAGATGTAAAAGGACAATCTACTTTCAAAAATACTATTCTACACTTATTCTTAAAGTGTACCTCATTTTGTTGCAATAAGCAGCCTATCAGTAGAGCGACATAAGAAGCAACGACACTGTCCTCCATGTGTGCAGATGCCTGTCAAATTCAATTTCACATTTGTAATCTACCAGTCATTACCAATCAAACTATACCTTGCTCATAGCATTTTGCACTGCTTGCAACATCTCACTCTCATTCATATCATTTAATTTTGCTCGATCCAATCGCCCATCATCGCGACATTCTTCATCGGTGTCATTATTGTCATCATCGGCAGGTTCCTAAGAAAACAGCATTGAAACAGACGAGAACTCTGCTAGAAAGAGAGAAACAGGAAACGTACCTCAAAAGCCAAGTCTTTGTCTAAATCCTCATCAATATTCCGTGCCTTCGCTTCGTGGACCGTGAATAACTAAATAGAAGTATTAGAGAAAACCTGTGGCGCTGCAATGTTGAAGGACAAAGTAATTCATACAATTGCAAGCGCATCGAGTGCTTTGTGCTCAGTATCTTCACCATTATCAGCGTGAACTTTCACAGTAGTCTCGATAAGTTTTCTACGATTAGAGTTACATCTTTCCACCAAATTGACACACAAAGACGTCATCTAAACCAAGAAGCTGTGCATTTCTCCTGAGAACAAGTAGTATAGCAGAGGTTAGGTATGCTTACCATCACATACAAATCAAACTTCTTGTCCTCTGGTGCGAATTTCGGCGCAAGGAAAGTGTATGATGATAGGCAAAGTGGCAAAAAACCCGGGACCTGCCCCAGCTTGGTACAACACAATTCTGAAAACGGTACTCATTGAACTCTGGTGACCATTATTGCACGAAAATAATTGTATAGCTGAGCGACTCACCATTTTCATGTGAAAGATTCATGAGCACACGAGCCATCAGAGATAAACAAGCTATATGAGAACGGGCCAACTGCGACCCAACGGCACAATTGCTGATCGTATCATGGATAATAGTCATTAGTCTAAATATCACTGGCCTTCTTTCGATACTAACAGAAAAAACAAACGAAAAATAAAGCAAACAAGGCAAAAAACAGTGAAAACTACTGATGGACATACTTTCCACACATTTGTATCAAGGCGCTTCCACGATGTGAAATCAGAAATGCTTGATTCTTCTTGTGGAATAGCGTACTCTAAAATAAAGACTTACTCGAACACAACAGTGAAAAATGAACAGTATTGCTCACAGATTCAAGAATCCTGAAGCATCTTTCGAGAATAACGAGCTGCTGAATCGTTTCCTCTTCGCTCAACTTGTCGTGCAGAAGCCGCAACACAATTTTTTCAACTAAAAANTTCAACAAGTGTCAATACCTATTTTCTGAGGCCACAAATTCGAATGGTATGAAGTCCTAGTTAGTCCACTGATCCACTGCAGGAAAGGGTAATAAAACCAGAAGATTCGCGGCAAACCGTTAATCGCAAGATACGTAAAATCCACAGACTCAACAGCTTTCCAACTCATATGATTGTATATTACATATTTCAAAGAAATAACTTCTCTAATACACCGACTCTAACGTAATGAAAAGCTACACTACAAACCTTTCCCTACTATCCACTGCAGTATGCCAAGATTTAGCAGCTCGGTCTTCAAATTTTCATCAGTGCACCTAGCAAGAACAAAAACCAAAGCTTCCAGTATGAGTGACGACGGCTAAAGCAAAATTATCAACTATTGAACATGGTCGAGAGTAACCGAAGAAAACCTACAGTTAGTTGTTCTTTCGTGAGATCAAATGCAATCTTCTTCCCTGTCGATTCCATTCTTTCTATGTATGTTTTGAAGATTTCCCAAACCTGAATTTCATGGTCACGTTTAGTAAATGTTTAAGCGATAAGGCTTTACTTTGAATTTATTGGGTGATCTACTGATAGAAGCCACCTACCAGAGATGCGTTCTTTTTCTGTTCATCGTTCTGCTCCATTTTTTCAATACGAAGTAACTGCGACAGCAACCGAAGCGACTGCGCGTCAACTTGCATCGAAATGAAGTCACGAGACATAAGATAAATTACGGTAGCGGCACAAAGCGCAAAGCTCTGAAGCAAATGAAGGTCAGTAATAATGTTCTATGATTAATTTGTAGAACTAAAATCACAATCTGCGAATGGTTTGAAAGTCACCTGGTTGCTCGCAGCATCAGCCAGGCCTTTGAAAACATTAGACATTAAACCCTCACTACGAAGAAATTGACGGAATTCAGACGATATGCATTTTCTTGCCAAAGATAACGTGCTAAAACGTTATCATTTCAATCACTTCTACCACCTCAGAACACAGGCTTTATACCTAAAACCACTCGTACCTCAAACATTTTATGTTGACGGGAGCCTGTCCCTTCATCGTACTCAAAATGTATTCGATATCTTGTTTGAAATCATCCTGCTCTCCGGATTCTAAACACTGGTGTGCTTCCTTAACTCGCCCGACCACAGTTGTCTCGCTGCCTCGACTGTAGATGGGACGCCGCTGAAAAATATTTCACTAGTTCTAGTATGCAGACTTACAAAGGCGGAAATAGTTGTCTTTTTGAGTAAATACTGGGCACTGAACTAATCCTCAGACCTTGGCATGCACCACAGACTAGCAAAGACAAAAATTGTACTAATCATGAATGTTAGAAAATACTTGGGTCATTAGTCACAACTTTTCTGACTCCCTTTCATAAGAACTCGCTTCACCTGCACTCATTCACAAGCATCTACTGGCAGCTTACTAGCTGGATTAGGTATTAGGAATTTGGACAGAGCGTTTTCAATTTTTTGTGAGAGACTTAACAGTTTGCGCCTAAGCGATAATGCTTCACGATACAATAAAAACATGAACTCCGTTTTTTCCAAACTGCCTGAGAAGTTTAAATCAGATAAGCTCCTGTAATCCAAAATAGGGAAGGATAATCCCAAAAGCTTCGTTTCACACGAAAAAGCCACAAAAGATTCATTTCATTAGGGCTCAGAATATCACTGAAATATAAACAAACGAAAGCATTCCGTACCTGTGGCACAGATGACGCACAAGAACTCGAATTCGACGTAGACCGTACATCTCCAGAGGCTCCAGTTTCATCTTCTTCGTCATCATCCTCTGCCCACTTATGTTGATAGACTGGTCGGCGTTCTTTGGGGGCCGTAATCTTTGTAGGCGCTAAAGTATAGCCATCGAGTACAACGCTCTGATGAAGTACAGAATGACTGGATGTTTCGTTCACCCACATGGAAGTGGTGGGGAAATTTTACTTCTTTTGGTAGATGGTGGCGGTGAGTCGTCATTGTCGTCAAAGTCAAATGTTGACGACGTTCGGGCAACGCCAGTTTGAGGAGACTGAGAGGAATGCAAGGTTGCGGTACTGAACGCGCTGGAAAAGGGATTACAAAAGTAAGTGTAAAGAGGAAGAAGCTAATTTTAATTCTGACATTGGTGCAGATTCAGATAGTAAAGGGAGACAGAGTAAAATTATAGCAGAAGAGATGAAACGTAGTGGTGGCCAAAAGTGGAGGAACAAACGGAAAAAAGACAGCTAGTACCTGTTAAGGGAAGAAGTGGATGAAAGTTGGCTCGAACGTTCAACAGGAATAGGTTGGCTGTCCTCATCGCTACTAGATAAACCCTAAAATCTTTCCGTCAAAATCTGAACGCGAAACAAAACAAGCAGTTTTTACGTTGTCGTTTTCAATAGTTCCATCTGTTGATGTGCTTTCCGGAAGACTTATGGGAGGAGAAAATACCTGTTTAGGAGAACCATGCGTTACTTCCGTATCGGAAACTAAAACGTAGTTGAATTACCAAGGAAAAGAGATTGTTCCAAATGTTTCAAAAAGCACAGGCACAAACCTGAAGGGAGAGAGTCTACGACAGATGATTCGGCAGTCGGTTTTTGCGCTTGCCACCTTTTCTTCGGCAGACTAAAAAGTAGATGTGTCATACGTGCGTCATAGGTTTCTCAAGCGTATGATCGGCATGCATATTGCGAAGAAAACCCTTCTTTAAACTCGGTGGCCAAAAAAGCACAACAGATAATGTAATAGGATTGCTTGAATATTTCAATAAATCTGAAAATTTTGCCGACGAGAACGGAAAAAAGAGGAACTATTACAAAAAAGCGACAGTTGTGATTCTTACTTCTTTAGCTGTGTAAACCGAGAAAAAGAGGAAAGAAAGAAGAAAGCCAGAGAAGTTAAAGTCACAACTGGAAAGAAACATTGACAGCTCTACTTGGACATAGGAAACAGAGTATCGAATAATACTCACGGTTTTGAGAAAGCGGCGTCGAATAGTGCGGACGCTTTCGAATTGGGCCCAAAACTTCCATAAGCACGATGCTCAGGATTAATACTTTTGGAGTGAGACATTTTGTGCCCAAGCCAGCTCTGCCTGAAATCTGCGAATACAATACACAGATATTTTCAAAACGATCTCATGACGACTATATATTGCAGAACAATAACCAGCAATTAAAAAAAAACGTTGGACGCAGATGGAACAGCAAAAGAAGAGGATCCCGGACGGAAAATTTTGTTTTAATAAGACCGCCGCTCGGAAACATTATGCCACACCGCCGCAACCATTGGAGGCAGTGCCTATCAGTGATACGATCGATTAGTGATTCCGAAATAGCAATCGAACTAATCTTTTATGGTACCATAAAACGACTAAAGTGTAACTTGGTTAGCTGACCAGCTACCTGAAGTAACGAAACAATTCGAGCTAGTCAGATTTCAAAGTATTCATATGAATTGATTGAGTATACGATATGTCATATTTATGGAAATATGCTGCTGAGCAACGAAATTTTTGAACCCTATGGAACTGATAGGTAAGTGAAGTTCATTTTAATTGTCCTGAGCAACGACAACTAGTGGACAACCGCTTTCGTCCTTATCCGTTTGGAATAGCTATTCTATACCACAGATTTCAATAAAAAATCAATTGCTTTTTGAGCACAGCTGTACGAATCTCCTTCCCACTTGGTTGACACTTGGTCCGCCCCTACAGCCATCAATTTTGGGCCTGAATCCATTCACAAGGATACAAACGAAGCTAATTCAAGAGAAAGTTTATTGATCCACGAATAAAATTTTTAGGAAAGAAAGCGGCGACTTCTCAGTAACATAAATGAAAAACCGAAATAAGCTAGGTTGGTTTGGATGAAGCAATTATGCTGGATAACATGACAATGAAAAAAGTTCAAGTGAAGCCCTTTCCACAATAATTTTGGAAAAAAGATCCCTAAAAGAGTTCTGTGTGTCATTTGCAGTGCTCAATGGTGGAAACTAGGCTAGAAATGGAAACCGAAGCAATGACACGAACTTTGACGGTTTAGGTGGTGACGTCAAAACAAAATCAATGAAAAAGCCGTGCAAGTCGGAAGGATAGATACGTTAACTATTACTGGCCGACAACGTCTTTTGCCAAGATGATAACAATTTGAGTTTTTGTCCTATCAATTCAAAGGCAGTATGACCCCTGGTGAAGTCATCGCAACCCCACTTCCCTACCAGAGCTCGCGAGACTCGGAACTTTCAACCCTCCACAGATTGTCTTAACCTAATAATCCTTCTACTCCTTCCTCAACCCTAGGGAAGTACTCGAGGGTTGAAAACAATGAAGGGCAACTCGCCAATTTTGGACCTGGCGACGAACTGGAATTTTTTGCCACATATTACTAATTTTCGAAGATGAAGCCGCCTCTATGCTGTTCTGCCCTAACCAAATCGTGTAACACAAGCTGAAATATGAAACCTACCGGTAACGGTAACTGGTAGTGGAGCGGCGATCGACCACAACCTTGGCACGGCGCCAAATTTCCTCCCGCGACCGCATTTTCGCTGTAGGACCGCGCCCAGAATTTGAACACTGTTGGCCGCATGCCAACGGGGCGTGGCAGCGTCATTGATTCCCGCGCGTCCACAGCTTGTGGCGTGTCCCGATTTGCTTTTCGCTGGCGTCTCTGCCTGTACTCCATCGCAATCACCTGCGCTTTTTTTGGCTCCATCGATTTTGGTGAACATTTTGGGCCTTATAGGAACAATTTCTCCTTTCCATGCATCTATTTCCTCTCCATAATGACCAAAGTTTTTTTTCTGCGTCCCACAGGGTCCATTTTACTGCTATTTTCGAAATTTTACTTTTTAAGAAAAATGGCTGGTGGCAAAGGTAAAGCCGGAAAGGACTCAGGAAAATCGAAATCAAAAGTGATTTCACGTAGTGCTCGAGCTGGTCTTCAGTTTCCTGTAGGCCGTATTCATCGTTTCCTCAAGCAAAGGACGACATCCACTGGTCGAGTAGGAGCAACTGCTGCTGTTTATAGGTGAAGTCTTATTCTAATAAATTTGTTGGTAAAAATCACCGATGCGAGATATTCGGTGAAGTTCAGTGTTAAAATAAGTTTTTATAATAGATTTTTTCAGTGCTGCTATTCTTGAATATCTCACTGCTGAAGTATTAGAATTAGCTGGGAATGCTTCAAAGGATCTCAAGGTCAAGAGAATCACTCCTAGGCATCTTCATCTTGCCATTCGGGGCGATGAAGAGCTCGACACGCTCATCAAAGCAACTATTGCTGGAGGAGGTTTGTGTATCCCCTACACTGGAGTAGTTTTCAAATCACGTCTGAATGAATGAACAAATTTTCAGGAGTTATCCCACATATTCACCGTTACTTGATGAACAAGAAGGGCCAGCCGCAACCGGGACAAAAGGTCGCTCCCCCGCCCTAGGTGTTCTAGTATTCATCAATTTCATGATTGTAACTTAATTACGTTATCACAACTATGATGCCTTTACAATTTTGACTTCACATGCTGACACAAATTTTTTTCTACTGCAATCTTGTGTCGTTTTGATTTTCTGGAATAAAGGGAATTGACATTGAGAACTTATGCTACCCGTACCTGCCCATATATTCATCAATCATTGTTGTACATTATGCTGAAATTCATGTTGTGTTGTACTTTATCATAATCAACCGATGGAAGTAAAGATCTCTGGCTGTGCATTGGAGTGGAGGATGTGAAGAATAAAAGTTGGAAATGCATAAAGTGAAAGTTTTCTGGGAGAAGAGTGTCGAAAAAGTTCCTGAGACACA